TTTGGAAACACGTTCCTATTTCTTGCACCGCCAAGATACAAAAGAGGATCCAACTCGAATACACCAGCCAGAAGTGGAACAACGAGTATCAAGACAACCAGCATAATCAGCATCAGCATAAGCCTCAACAATCGCATCACCAGAGGAAGGAAAAAACAAGCCAACATCAGAAGTACCACGAAGATACCGAAGGATTCGGTTGACCGCAACCATGTGAGTAGTACGAGGAGCAGCCATGAACTGGCTAACAGCTTGAACCGCATACGAAAGATCCGGTCGAGTATGAGTAAGATAAATCAAACTCCCAACAAGACTGTGGTACAACGAACCATCAGGAAGCAAATCGCCATCTTCTTGTCGTAACTTCAAGTTTTGCTCCATCGGAGTAGCACATGGGACACAACTATCCATATGAGCAGTTTCAAGCAAGTCAATAATGTACTTCTGTTGGCTGACCAATAAACCAGCAGAAGACCGATGAACCTCAAGACCAAGAAAATAAGAGACATCTCCTAGCTCCTTAAGTTTAAAAGCGGCATGCATAGTATTAGTAAGCGTCTGAATACCAGTAACATCGTCACCACTCACCAACATATCATCAACATAAATGAGCAACACTGTAATCCCAGAGGCTGTACGACGAAGAAACAATGACGGATCAGTATCGCTCTGAACAAAACCAGCGGACAGGATGGTATCATGAAATTTCTCAAACCAAGCCCTTGGAGCCTGCTTAAGACCATAGAGAGAACGCCAAAGCAGACAAACTTTAGATTTGTCACCAGATAAGTAACCGGGAGGACATTCCATATAAATAGTTTCCTTAAGATCCCCATGAAGAAACGCATTCTTCACATCAAGTTGCTTTAATGGCCACCCTCGCATGGCAGCAACAGCAAACAAGGTACGAACAGTCTGCATTTTGGCTACTGGCGCAAAAGTTTCTTCATAATCAATTCCATACTTCTGCCGAAAACCTTGAGCAACAACACGGGCCTTAAAACGCTCCAGAGAACCATCTGGATGGAGCTTAACATTATAGACCCACCGGGAACCAATAACAGGCGCCGTAAGAGGACGATCCACGACATCCCATGTATGATTAGCTTCAAGAGCATGAATTTCAACATTCATCGCATTATCCCATTCTGGATGACCAGAAGCCTGTTTAAACGTAGCGGGAATAGGGATATGGGGGGTAGCATAGGCAACGAAGTCGCACATGTGGGGAGGAGGAATTCCCTTGGTGGCACGCTGGGAACGACGAGGTGGAGGAGCAAGTTCCTCGGGAGTAGAGGCGGCACCTGAAGAAGTAGAAGACTGCTGGACAGTAGGGGAGTGGGACGAGGTCGGGGAGTGAGACGAGGTTGAGAGCTGGGGGTCGGGCGACGTGGAAGAAGTCGGAGAAGAACCAGACCAGTCATAGGCAATGGAAGACGTGGCATGAGGAGGGGAAGGAGGATCTGGATTCTCCCCAGCAGTCACAGTAGGTGAAGGAAAATCGGGCAAAGGAAAAGGGAACTCAAGGTCCGAACGAGAAGGCTGATCGGCCGAACCATAGTACGCAATATGTTCAAGAAAAGCGACGTTGCAGGAGATACGAATACGCCGATTAGCTACGTCATAGCAAACATAACCCTTGTGTTTATCACTGTAGCCAATAAACACACTTCACAGCTTTAGGAACAAGCTTATGACGTTCACGACGGGGTAACAGGACATAGCAAACACAGCCGAACACCCGGAGACTCCGATAATCAGGCTTCTTCCCAAATAAGACTTCAAACGGACTACGATTATTAAGAACTGGAGTTATCTGACGATTAATCAAATGAACAACCGTGTGAACAGCTTCAACCCAATAACCAGTAGGAACACATGACTGAAACAAGAGAGCTCGGGTGAGTTCCAAAACATGCCGATTTTTCCATTCAACCAGCCCGTTCTGTTGAGAAACCCCAGGGCAAGAATGTTGGGGTAAAATGCCCAACTCGCGGAACACAGTCTGTAATGGTCCAGACACAAATTCACCGCCTGGATCCGATCGAAAAATTTTAACCTGTCTCCCAAATTGAGTTTTCACCATTTGCAAAAACTCCTTAGCCACGGAAAGCAAGTCGGACTTGTGGCGCAAAAAATAGACCCAGGTAAATCTCGTAGCATGATCAACAAAAAGAGCGAAATAACGAAAACCAACACGAGAAGTAACAGGAGAAGGACCCCATAAATTAGAGTGAACCAAATCAAAAGGATCAGGATAATCTGTAGAGCTGGATGTAAACGACTGCTGAGACAACTTAGCATCAATGCAATGCACACAATCACGAGAATCCGAAATCGAACTGCCTGACAATAACTTGTTTTTGAACATCTCATGTAAACGAGCATTATTCGGGTGGCCTAGCTGACGATGCCACAAATCCCAATTAGACAACTTAATAGAAAAACCAAAAGTATCACTCGCCCTCCCTACATCCACGCTCACAACACCACCAGAATCCGCAGCAGCCAAAGTCCCAGAGTAGCTGTTAAGTGTGAACACACGACCCTCCTTAGTCCCGCGGCCTCTCTGCTTCCCCGTTCTCGTGTCCTGTATGACACAACCATCCTCATCAAAAACCAAACGACAGCCCTCATCAACCAACTGCCCAACAGACACGAGACTGGGAACGAGATGAGGCACATATAAAGTATCAGATAGACACAACTGTTTCTGAGAAATATCACCAATTCCTTGAGCAGGTAAACAAGAACCATTTGCAACTTGCAACATAATAGAAGACTGTGGCCGTAGAGAACGAAATTCCGAACGAGATCCAGTCATATGATTAAACGCTGCAGAGTCGAGATGCCAAGAAGTAGAAGAGGGAGAGGACATACCCGCAGTGAAAACACAACCAAGAGCAGTAGGCAAGGCCTCTTTAATGGCCTCCTGAACAAGTTGGCGAATGTAATCCGCCGAGACCCCAGCTGACGAAGAGGACGTGAGCGAGCTAGCAGGGACCGTCGTGGTAGCATACGCCTGGCCAGTGGTGGTGGAACGAGAGGAACCGCCGCCTGAACTAGAGGAGCTTGCACCACGAGACCTGCCGCGTTTAGCTAAGATCGGACAGTCACCAATCTTGTGACCGCACTCCTTGCAATAGTTGCAAACATTCCGCTTGGGACATCGATTCTGAATATGGCTCGGTTCCTTGCAGAAGAAGCAAACAATTTCACCAGAGGGAGTGCGATGAAAACGTGGCTTGTCCGAATTAACAGCGAAAGCAGTCGAATCCGAGGAGGTAGATTTGCTAAAGGAATCCTTGGAGACTGAGAAGGCAGACCCGGTATCAGCCGATTGGTGGACATCAAGCTTTGCTTGACTGCGAAGCCTAGTCTCTTCACGAACAAGCTCCCCAAGGACATCCTCAATTTTGGTGACGTTCCGATGAAGCAAGGATGCCCTAATCCCTTCAAAGTCGCCGCGCAGCTTCATTAAGAACTGCATCACACGGGAGCTAGAACGATCCCGTAAAACTTCCGCAGATGCCTCAGCAGAGAGAAGAGACGTGGTCAGTTGATCAAGCTCTGTCCACAAGTTCACCGCCGCTTGATAGTACGTCCGAACATCCATGTCGCCCTGATGGAGCCGCGCCAGGTCGAGCTCCACATCATATTTGCGAGAAGAGCTTGGCTGGGAATGAACGGCAACCAGGTGAGTCCACATGGCGGATGCAGAGGTAAACCCTCGTAAGCTAAGAGCGATTGAGGGTTCACATGAAGACAAGATCCAAACCATAACTTGAGCATTATGGACCTCCCAATCCTCTCTGTCCTTGGCCGGAGCATCAACAGCAGGTTGAGCTGATGATCCATCAAGAAAGCCAGAAAGACGGCGCCCTTGAACAAAAAGACGCAGCTGCATCTCCCAAAGGGCCCAATTTTTGCCATTTAAGCGAACAGCAACAGTATCAACCTTGGAAGCCTCCATTGCACCGAGAGTGAACAGCCAGTTGGTAGCGCGAAAGGGAGGCAGAGAGCAAACAGCCAGCTGGTAGCGAGAGCAAACCCAGAAACTCGGAGATTAAAGCAGAAAGCACAGCAACGAAGCAAACCCTAGTGTCGCCGCCGAACAGAAACTTAGCACGATCAAGCTTCAAGCTTCAGGCTCTGATACCATGTAGAACAAGATAACAAGAAACAAACAATAACAAGAACACCGAGATTTACGTGGTATCCTCAACGTATTGTTGAGACTAATCCACGGAGAGGAGCAACCTCTCAGAGTCAATTGTATTCCAACGATAATCCTTAGGTTACATGAGTCGGCTAACAACATATATATACTCGCCGAGCTAACCCTATCTCAAGCCTAAACGGATTAGCCAAACCTACTAACACAAGGATTACTGGCCAAATTACAATTGACTACCCATAACTTCTAACAGAACTTGCCTATATAGATAAACATTTCCTAGTGGTTAAATCTTTGACGAGGACAACATTTGCTTATAAGAATGAGAATTTGGTGATTTTAAAAGGATGTAGGTAAAAGTTCACCCACATGTTATTAGTTTGATTACATTGTACCCACTTAATGCCTAACTAACAACATATATTAGTTTGATGTGAACTGAGTTATCAACTAATTGCACTTATTTCCCATGTCCTCACAATTTGAAGCAACGATAGACAAGCTACATATACTTCAAATCAAATAGACATTTATATTCATAATAATCAACATGATCATGTCATTGAAGATTTCATTAATCATCAATTTGAAAATACATATGCAACATAGATAAGTATTTATAGTTTCCGCTCATGACTGGTTCCACACATTCGTGAACCTTATTGAGTACGGAAAGTAAAATTTGAGTACGGAAAGTAAAATAAGATAAAGATAGACCCAAACACAACCAAAGCATCAAAAGGGTAAAAACAAACGGGTTATAACAATAGTGGAGAAAGGAGGCACACATCTATACAAATATATCCAGAAACACAGAGTGAAGTTATTGGATCATTTTGTACCAGATGGAACAATCAGCCAATTCGAGCCTAGCATCAAGGGTATGCTCGCAGTTGGTGTTGAGTTTGTTCTTAGCGGTGACCAAACATGCCCAACAATCCAGTTTCCAGAGGTGCCTGTCACAGGTAGCACCTCCGATGACCGAGCCATTGTCGCGATTCGGGTAGCTGTGAACGTAACTGTAGTCGTTGTGATGGCTGCGCTGCACATTTTTCGTCTCGTCGACAAATATGTTGACGAGACGAGCCACGTTAGCGTTGTACTCTTGATCCTCTGACTTGCCGATGCAATCTGGTCCCCTGATAATGCTTGTGTCTGCAAGTCTCGCGTCAACGACAACGAAGCTCGAAACGTTTAGGAGCAGGAAAGCTGCCACCAACATCAATTTTGATCCGCAATCCATGTTTTCCTCCTCCTTTTGCTTCACTCTCTGTTCCTTTCTGTTTCAGCTCTTTATGTACACTCTCCTCTCAAATGACCCTATTTGCTGATTTTTGTACGTTGTGTGTAGGGTGAGGAATTAATGTGGCCTGCCCACTCCTTTTAATAGCACCTTGATCGCCGCCGGTGGACAAATTAGCTTCCCAAATTTCATCGCCGAACTAAAACAGAACAATGCATCAGGAGAATGCGATTGCGGGAGGTATCTTCCCTCTCTGTAGAGTCCCTCTTTGTTGGTGAATGCCTACGTTCATCATCACCGATACAGACAAAGTGATTCAGTAGCAGCGAGCGCCAAGATACTGTCTTCTGGGCGGCCCAAAACGTGAAGCCATTTCTGGTCAGGTAGTTTATTCCCCCAATGACCTCAACAATCTTATCACAAACTGATCAAAAGAAAAGCGCCTCTGAAGAATTACAAAATAGAAACAGGGGGGACGAAAAAAGATTAATAAGCAAACACAGTTCGAGCTCCGAATTGTTTGACGGACTCTAAAACAAATCTGTCTTGCATTTGTCTATCTTCTTTGGAAGTTGAAAGACTTGATGGAGATAGCAAAGATGAAGGCGAAGACCGCTACCAATCCAACCATGACTCCAGCAACTACTCCCAAGAAATCATGCTCGAACCCAAAGTAGCTGCTCAAGAAATCCTCCACCGTTTGCCCTCCTTCCATCGGCGTCTTCACATCCCCGTACTGCGACACAATCAAACCATACAGCGTCCACGCAATTGGGTTGGCCCAGTAGTTCCATCTCCACCACACTGGAATGCTCTGCAACCCATCACCAAAGTCACCAATCAAGTAAAACTATCATGGAAGATTGAAATCGAAATCGTTAATGATACATAAATTCGACTTACGGGTCTTGGGACGATGAACCCAGCAAAGAGATTCCAGATGGAGTAAAAGAAGGAAGAGATGATTGATGCAATGTGGTGGTTCGGTGTGATGGCAACCGTCATCATCCCATAGTAAGTGAAGTAGAGGAGAGAAAAAAACATGAAGAAGATGTACCACAAGAACTTCTTGGCTTCCCACTCAAACCCCATCATGGAGTAAGTTATCACTCCATACACCACAGACTGGACCAGGATATATGGAATCTCTATCATCACCTGAGCATAAGCATACGGCAAAGCCGAGTACATCCCCGCGGCTCGCTCCCTGTAGAACACGGTTCTCTCAATGGCTACCACCGGTTGCACCGAAGATGCATTCTGGACTCCCAAGAACGTCACTGCTGAAAACATCGCTCCCATCGCATTGAAAAGGTCTTGGTTCTTGGTCGTTCTGCCACCGAGATCCCAAAACACGGTTCCAAATGTGAGGGATATTATGGTCGTGAACATGAACCTGACCGCCGTGTATGGAGGGTTGCGCCAGTAGGACCAATGCTGCTTCCACAGGCAAGCAGCGCACTGTGTCAAGAACGGTTGTGAGTATTGTGTTGGGAAGTAGAGATCTTTAGAACCCGGGGCTGGTTTGCTCAAGTCCTCGATGAGTGCCTTGTTTCTCTTGTACAGATCCGAGTTCCTGTAAATGTCAGTGAAATCCACTCCTAGAGCTATCTCTTGTGCTGTGGTGGTCACCTCCAACATCCAAGTTGCCGGGTTGTAACCATCTGTGATCTTGCTCACGCCTTCGACTTCCTCAAAGTATTTCACCAGATGGGCAGAATGGCGCCCCAGTGGGCCGACATATATCTCTTGCCCTCCTCTCTTCAACAGAAAGAGCTGCAAACAATCCCCAAACAGAAAGTTTCAAATGTGCATCCATGTAGTGGACTTGTTTCTAAATAGTTGTGCTAATTGATTGACAACAACCTACCTCGTCAAATGCTTCGAAGATATCAATGCTGGGTTGATGGATGGTGCAAACGACTGTTCGACCAGTGTCTACAGTGTTTCTCACCGTTCTCATGACAATGGCGGCAGCTCTAGCATCCAATCCTGAGGTCGGCTCATCCATAAAGATAATGGATGGATTTGCCACCAACTCGACTGCAATGGTTAGCCTCTTGCGTTGCTCCGTAGTCAAGCCAGTCACACCGGGGAGTCCCACCAGTGAGTTGCGTATAGGGTTCAGCTCCACAAGATCCATTACTTCTTCAACAAACAGCTATTGCATACACAAACATATGTAAGTTAGACTGTTTGTCTATGCACAAATGAAAGTTGCACATTAACTCTCCTGTGTTTTTTTAGGATGGGAAACTTACCATTCTGGTTTTTTGATCAACTTCTTTGGGAAGACGCAACCAGGCCGAGTATACTAAAGACTCGTATACGGTAACTTGTGGAGAGTGGATATCATTTTGCTCACAATACCCTGAAATCCTAGCAAAAGTTTCTTGTTTTTTAGGGAACCCAGAAATGGTGATGTTTCCTTCAATGTAGCCACCGGTTTTCCTTCCAGCAAGCACATCCATGAGAGTGGTTTTACCAGCACCACTGACTCCCATGAGAGCTGTCAAAACACCTGGCCTGAAAGCACCACTAACACCCTTTAGAAGCACAAGTTTGTCTTCCGTAACACCTTGGCTCTTCATTTCCTGGTAGATTTTTTTAGTCCAAATGAAAAGGGAAATGGTTTAGTATTTGACAAGAACTAAACCCAAATAGTTAGCTTTGTAATAATTTACCTGTGGCATGTCAACTGAGTAGATAACGTCATCGAAGGTGAGTGAATAAGGCTCAAATGGGAGAACCATCCCCTTTTTCTTGCTTTCACTTGCTTCATCATCTGCATTTCCGGCTATGGTGGAACCACTAGTTGACATCTCAACGGCTCCTGCTGAAGGGATGGCCTCATCTTCAGGTATGACAGCCTTAAGCTTCTCAAATTCTGACCATTTTAACAAATAAAAAAAAGGTTAAGCTTTCTTGCACCAGAAGCATTAACTTGAAAAAGGAATTTATGGGTGGGAATTACTTACTGTCCAGGAAAGTAAGAGCAAGAACAAAAACAATGTTGAATAGAAACAAGAACCCAAAAGTTGCTCCTACTCCTAGCCAATACCAATGTGGTTCTGTGAAGAACCCTCGAGATCTTAACACTTGGATTCCCAGTGATTCTGTGGAGTTGGGTGGAATCTGTATACAGGGCATGAAATCAGTCTCATGAATAAAGCAATGAAAGAAGGGAATGAATGGAAAGAATTTCAAGATAATTGCAGTGAAAGTATTACATGGCTCCAACTCTTTCCATGGAATTCATTGATCACTATTGCATTTTGCCCATACATCATGGGTGATGCCCAATAAGCCCAAATCCACCATTTTTTTATGTCCTCTATTGATAACAAATCAAAAAGAAAACTTAAGACATTAGCAATTCCCAAATACATACAGGATGTCAAGTTAAAAACCCAATGTTAACCGATAACTAACCTCTTGACAGAACAAATCCACTCAATGCAAAGAGAAGAAGCACAACAAATGAGCCAAAGGTGTTGGCAATGATCATGTTCCTTCCCGTTGCAGCGATGGACCGAAAGAGAGCAGATGCCATCTGATTGATTGCCACCAGCAACACATAAAGCCTAATCAACCTGCATTACCAATCATGTTATATATGTGACACATTGGTTTCAGTAACAATTAAAGTAACCTGAAAACTTGAAAGACTGGAATTAGTATAGTCAGACAGCCTTTGATTTACCTTCCAAAGTTGGGATCAAATCCAATGACATAGTATGTCATGAGGACCCAAACACCAACTTCATAGAGGGTGACAGGAATCTTGAGGATCCATGGTGGAATGGAGTATATCCATGGCGGGTAAAAGAACAAATTCTTTTGCTTGTAGAACACGGGAAGCTTTGCAATGGTCATTGGAAGCTCAGCCATTCCGTTAAACATGAGCATAACCAGTGAGAAAAAGAGTGCACCGACATAAACACCCCCATCCTGAATCGTGTTCCTATGCATCTCGGTCCTCAGGAAGACGGTCATGAAAAACAGTCCCATGATGACCAGTTGGCTCAGCTTGAAGATGTAGACAAATGAATTCCTTTTCATGAGTAAGTACTCTCTTGCAAAGTTGGCCTTCAGCAGCTCCTTGTTCCCAACACCATATTTCTTGGTTGACAAGGCAGCAGGGTGGTTCTTGGTTTTGTCATAAGGAACTGATAGCTCATCTGAAATCTTCCTTCCTATATGGAAGGACTGGAATGCCTCTGCAAACTCCTTTGTTGTTACGAAGCGGTAAGGCTGATCCCTTCTTGTCCAATACTGCTTCTGATCCTTCTTAGATGTGACCTGGATAAATGAAAAATAAACCCATCAATCAATATCTAGCAATAGAATTGGAACTCTCTAAGTGCTTGTTATTTTCTCTTGTGCATACTTCTTGCAAGAAATCAGCCACTCCTTTCCGGTCAGGGCACTTGAATCCCATGTGCTCGAAGAACTCGAGAACGTTTTCGCGAGGACCCTGATACGCAATCTGGCCATCTGATACCAAGATGATGTCGTCGAAGAGGTTGTAGGTCTCTGGTGCTGGCTGGAGGAGGGAAATGACTGCTGTGCCGTTGAGGATGTGATTTTGCTGCTTCAACGAATTCACAATCTGAAATGTTGTGGAACTATCTAAACCGGTTGAGATCTCATCCATGAACAATGTTCTTGCTGGTCCAACGAGCATTTCACCTGCCAATTCATGTAAATTATATATAAGCTTTGTTTTCAAGATAACAAACATGAACAAGCTGATTACTTGTGAATGATTTTTACCAGCAGTAACACGCTTTCTTTGTCCTCCGGAGATACCCCTGATCATTTCATCTCCCACAAGAATGTCTGCACAAACTTCCAGTCCTAAGATCTGTAATGTCCAATTTCAGAAAGAAAGAAAAAATGCATTAGAAACATATGAAGGTGGATTCTTTATAATGAGAGTGTTGAGTAGCAGTAGCAACTTCAATATTGATCACCTTGAGAGTATAGTCTGTTATCAC